ATACTTCACTAAAATGTTCAATTCCTGTCTTTTGTCCATGGATTTTTTTCTATCGTTCAAGTGCACCAATATTTGGGTCTGTCACAGGTGACATGACGGAGCACGAGTAAATTACTGGCAAGATATTTTATTGTTCAGTATAACATTTTTAAATCTTTGAAATGATCAGTATAGAATAAGGAGATGTGGTATGATTGCCAATGAGACAAGTATCTAACATAGTCCAAACGACGTGGATTTAAGCAATTAAAGGTCATTCAACCTTCAACAATGAGCAAAATACCGTATAGTCACCTATAGAAGTCCCTGACATGACAAAATGGGCCCAAACAATTCAAAGAAAAAAAAACTGATTTAAGACAAAGCAATAAACAAAAAAACAAATATGACAGACAGCAACCGAAGATATTCACTGAATGACAAGGTCCTGATTTAGGACAAGAATATATAGAATGTGACGGGGTTAAACATGTTTGTGAGCGCTCGTCCCCCCTTTCCCTGGTACAGTGGTGTAACAACACTACATAAGAACAAACAGAATATTAAAAAAATAACATAAAATGGTTCTTATGCTATTGAATGAAATGATTCCGTTTTCTGTTTTATTAGCACTTCAGCACCAATAAAAATTTACACTTTTTCTAGCGTAGGAAACACGAGCAGGGTTCTAATTTGACATAACTTTCAACTTGTCAATCTTTCAGATAATGGGCGTATGGCGCCACTATGTCTGTGTTTTGGTAATCATTTACCGACAAAAAATCCTTATATGTTTCTATTTACTTCCGAAGTCAAGTACTAATTACAACTTGTTACTTTGAAAGTTATTGGTAAAACGACCAATTAAGTTACTTGTGAATTCGGAATAAACATTTATAAACACTTATTGAACAGTATAATAATGACCTTCAAATTCTATGGAAAAACATGGAACTGTAAAAGTTAGTCTGATTTTGAAAATGTTGGTTGATATATGTTTTACCGTAAAAACGAGATAAGTGGTGAAGATCATCTACAGATGTTTTAAGTCTACGACTATGACCAGGTGTCACTACCAATCAACAATCTCTAAATCGACTACGTAGATTGAACTCAAAACGCCACCTCAGCACATTAAGCGCATTCTACCACCTAATTAACTAAATAAAAGAATAAGGTACAAACTCTGCCTTTAATAAGACTGACTCCTGTTTAAGGTGGATCATCACTATATATTTCCTCAGATAGAATTTTCTTATACTTTTGCCATGCTTTTTATAATTAAATAAAATCAAACGTGTCACCGTGCTATTTTTCAAGCTACAAGTCGTCCAAAATTGCCAAATTTTGCATAGATTTATTCATGAAAAAAATTTGTGATTAAAAGGAAATCTATGAGATAGAATTTCGAAATAAATATGAAAAGATAGGTTTTATAATATACTTTAAGAAAATAAAAAGAAAAAAAGGTGTCACCGTACTTGTTTCTTGCTACAAGTAAAAAATAAAAATTTCACTATCATTCTAGTATATTTTTTTACTACAAGAGTTATCTCCCCTTATATGGCTAAGTTAGAAAATTGAATCGAACACAAACAAATATTTAGTATTTGTTGAAACAGTCAAACAAATGCAATAAATCACTTATTTTTATTTATTTAAACGAAAATCTTACACATTAATTGCCAATCTGTCTAAATATTTGAAGATTTAAGCAAAGAACTAGACCTATTGTGTACAACTATCTTACAATTCCAGATAGCGGTATACAGTTAATCTACCTTAATTTGAATTTGAAATGAAAGAGTAACCAGTCAATCAATCCATCAATTCACAGTCACGTCTCAGTCATTACAACTGAACGGACGTGCTCGGTCAGCTCCTCTTTACCCACTATTTGCGACGTCGGTTTACTTATAGATGGTTCAACGACTTTAAATACTACTTTCGATGACAGATACCAATCCAACATTGCACAGTCTACATTGTGGTCTATGGAAATACCCGCGTCAGCATACACTCCAAAACCCATTATGAATGGGGGAGTGTTATGGCGACTGACGTCCGAGGGCCTGTATCCTAGGTGTTAGATAGTGGACCGCCATTTCACTGTCTTACGACATTGGTCCTGATAATGCTTCCTGTCATCGTTATTACTATGTCCGAGATTCATCGACCAGTACTCTATCATCGTGGTAAGCGGGCCGCACAGCTGACCAACCTGGCCCTGAAAGCAGCCGTTGTGGAGGAAGTAAACTAACCAAAATAGTCAACAAACAAAAAGATCTTACCAAAACCAAAATGGCTGCCGTCCTTTTCAACTTTTCCAGCATTTTGTCAACAAAATATTTAAACGCTCACCAAACGCCTTCGGGCACCGAGCCGACCGTGCGAGGGCTTAACAGCTAGTCAATGTTGTTAAAGTTAAAAACCACCCAGATAGAGTAACAAGTGAATTCTCGAATTGCATATTGGTCCAGAATATGCATGAAATATGTGCCACTGGAAGTTAAGAAAACACCAATAAATACGTCGATTTGAAATTAGTAAGGAAATGGAAACGGATATATAAAGTGCGAATAAGGAATATGGCCACGGCTTATATACATTATTTTTGAATGTACATTGAACAAGTACAAGACATGCCAAACACCCATTTTTCTATTTTTGCTTTATTGTTTAGTAACATTTAGTTTCCAATCTTTGTTTTTTTACTCTTTATAATGCACCCTTTTCGGTAAAACAAAATGTATCTGGTGTGGAAGAAAATGAATATATATATAAATATATTTATTGTCTTGTGGTAGTCTTTTCTTCACATTCAAGTCGTATTTCATTATGGTAGGCGTTTTCTCTATCATGATCTATCAATTGATAATCTTAGAAATTCAAAATTGAAGCCAGAAATGAATACTCCCTGTTAGAATGACAGCTAAAACAAGTTATAAAACCGTGGAACACAAAGTTTATCAAATACGTGTCACATGATCATCATGATTTTGCCATTTTAATCATTTAGGGTACGTAGAATGGAACATGCTTTCCGGTCTATGCGTCCATCCCGTTCCGTAACACGTTAAAGTTTTGGTTTAAGGGACTTTTCCATAAAGTAGTGGTCACACCAACTTGAAACTTTGTACCCACTTTATCATGATATGAACTTCTTAAAATATATGCCAAATATGAATTATGAAAAAGATTTCACAGTTCACTGAACATGTAAATGTGCATACGTACATAGTGTCCTATGGACACGTCATATTCTTATTTAAAAAAAAAGTTTATGAACTCATTTGACAAATTTCAAAGCAAATCATCGAAACAGGATTAGATTTTTCTAAGTCGAAAGCAATTGTACAATGTCCGAAATTCACGTGGATAATTTTATAAATCAGAGAATTTCCAGCATTTTAACAGTTAATTTAAAAGCAACTGCCAAATAGAGGGCCGGGTTGTATAAAAAATGATAACATAGAAATGTAATACAAGTTTGTAAACAAACATATACAATTTGCAAAACGTAAAATAATAATTCTGATGCAAAAGTTGAACAATATTGAATTTAAACCACAAGGCTCTAAAATATTTTGGCACGTGATTAAGATTAAGAAAAAGACACCAGGGCATTAAAATTGCAGACATGCATGAAAATGCCTGTACTGTTGACTTGATTGATGGGTTATATAACATTCATGTATGATGTTGTGTTCTAAATGGAATCTGTATGATGTCATTATACAAATAATATTAAATGATAGAGACTGCACATGGTGTTTGTCTTGAAATCCACTAACCGATTATAAGCCAGAGCACGAGAGAGCACTTGGTGCTACACTTGATAACATTTTTATTTCCTTTCACATTTTAAATATTTACATAACATAACACAACATTATATTGTATAAAAAGCGTGGATTTTTTTCTGATTTTTTTTTTAATAAGTTACTAGAAAAATTATTATGCTATAACGAAAATCTAATAAAATTGTTCCGAATTCAAGTCTGTTATCTAACTAAGTGTTTCCAAACACATGAGGTCAGTTTGCTTCTATTTATTTGGCTATATTGGACTATTCTGCTGATAGAGTTTCTCCGTTTTATGGAGCATAATTAGAATGTGTACGATTCATTACATCTGTTATGAAATATAAAGAAACGTTGTTGTGATTCCAGTTATGATGATTCGGTGAAGTATCATTCCTGTTAACATTCACAATGTTTGGTAGAAATCAAATATATGAGAAAAGTTGTTTACACCACAATAAGGATGTTTTCGATAAAAAATGATATTTTTATATTTGAAATTATGAGAAAAAATAATTTCTGCATTAATCAGGCCCCCAAAGGTAAATTTGACTGGGATTATTTTGTACTTTTATCGTATCCTCCAAGATAAGGTTTAAATAATGCATGAGAAGTATAATTTATCAAGTTTTGATTTGAAATATTTAATTATATATTAGACAGCAATTTTGGAGGAAAGAGTATGATTTTAGTCAAATGTGATTTCTTTGAATTAAAGAGATTAAGAAACAATGCCATTCTGCTAATATCTTTACGAATTCATAGGTGCCATTAGAAGACATTCTGAATAAATTATAAAAAGCAGTGAAATTAAGGTGTCTTATCTATAAGGAAGTCTCAGGTTTTCCCCCGCTTTTGAAGTGGTTAACAATTAGAATCACGGTTCAAGATAAGTAAATAATTGATAAAATTTGAAGAAAAAAAGTAAATCTTGTCAACTGAAACCATGTGTCATAATATCGAACTAGTGCGTTGCGACATCCGGAAGAAATATTTATGCGAACAAGTTTTCAAATCTATGTATTTCTTCATTTCATTGCTTTAGTTTTTTTTTTCGTATGTCATAAACGTTTTGATATAGTTTCAGTTATTACATCTATGTAAATCATATAGCGCAGAAAAAAACCCTACGGTAAACTTTTTTTTAAATATAAAAAATTGAAGCTTATAGTTTTTCTTCAAATAAACGCATTTTTACTTTTTATTAATTTCTATTAGGTGAATCCCTTAAATGCGAGGACCCATGGGTATTACTGCACCGGAACTGTGTACTGTTTGATAAAACACACATGTTACCATGGAAAGCGGCTCAGCAGAAATGTGAAGATTATGGAGGAAGCCTTATATCAGTGAACTCCTACAGAGAAAAGGTATACAGAATCTTTAATTGACGTAAACATATATTTTCTCTAACATCTCTGAAATTAGTCAAGACTTCCCTCTGGTTTCAACGTACTTCATGCACATTTAGACTTCACACATAACATCATATATGAAAACTTCTTACCACAAAAAATGGCGATAAGTTCGTCAATTTCGTGCGCTCTTCGATCGGGACAAGTTGTCAACTTGACACAATACTTTGGGAATACTTATATGTTAACCAGTCTTGTTGAGTTGAAATGAAGTATATTCAAGCCAAATTCATTAGACCAGTAAACTCAGTTGATAAAAATAAAGGGATATGTTTGATATTGGCTATAAGACAGCTCAAGCTACATCATAAGTCTCAGTTGCTAGATTTTAGCTGTCTTTTTCTAGTTTTGTAAAAGAAAGCTTTTATTTGAAATTTGCAATAAAATGATCTGAAAAGAAAGCGTAGATGAGATAAACCGTTATTTTTGTTTAATAGATAGCCCTTCGAAGAGGACTAATGCCTAGAATAAAGAAACCGAATGAATTATATTGGTGGGTAGGTTTATCTCACAACCGATCTGAGGCAAGATGGGTATGGCAGGATGGCAGTTTTCTTTCACTACGTTCAAGGTATATATCAAAGAGGTATGTAGGTACGCCAAGCTCCCCTGAATTTATTTCGCACTTTTGAAATATCTTTCCAATCTTTTCTAAAATTAACGGTGTTTCTGCAAACACTATAACGTATTTCAAACATGTAATGATTTATAATAGATGGCTCAAATTTTCATTTTAACCTTATCCGAAAGTCTGTCCAAAGGAAAACTATGTATTGTCTCTGAAATACAAATTAATTTATGCTTGATAACGAGGTCCTTCGATGCAAAAATAATAATGAAAAAATATATAGAATTTGCAATATTGTATTGAATTGTCTCTAAAGTGGTCTTCGACGACAATTTTAGCACGGAATAGAATTCAACTGATAAAAATAGACTTGATTATTGTAAAATACATAAAGTACATTATTTAGTCTCTTTAACATTTAATTCCAGTAAGTTTTAACAACTATCTGGTTTTGACCATGTTATTGAAACCAATTCAGGGAAAATTGGCCCTACCTATGGTATATCAATCTAGTCCGTTAAGGCTTGACAAAACAGATCTTTTTGTTCAGAATTATTTTTATTAGTGTATCATTACGGCTTCCCTTAATCATATTAAACTGTAATGCCATACAAATAAATTTCAGCATCAATCATTTCGTTCATTATGAAATGTTTAAACAAGCCAGGGAATGTAACAATGGTAATATAATTATTCCTTTGGTTGACATCTAAATATCCTATCGGTTAACGTGTGACAATTATATTCTATTTATTCCATTGGTTGATATGTGATAATAATATTCTAGTTATTTCATTGGTTGACATGTGATAATCACAATTAAGATATCCCATTGGTTCACATGTCACAATCATTATCTATTTACGCCATCTGTTGACAGTCCTCCGTTTATGTCAGCTGCATTATGTTTGGACATTAAGTTTGAAATTATTTTTGACTTTCTTATTTTAGTTTATACAAACTAAAATGAATAGAAATTATTTGAAATTAGAAAAGGAAATCACTATCTGTTTTATTCTAGCCCATGGGCACAAGGTGAGCCAGATAATAGAGGTGGAAACGAGTTGTGCGCAGACTTTCATTTCTCAGGGAAAATGTTCGACAAAGACTGCAGTGAACAAAAACCATTCATTTGTGAGAGAATTAAGAGTGAGTAAACCATGTTCATATCAAGATATGTTCTTGCACAACTACAATGGTTTAATATTAATTTTCTTCTTTTTATTAACTGACATTTCCAGAGTTCAGGGATCTCATCGTGCAGACACTGGCATTTGCTAATATGCTGGTCTTACATAAGAAACCTCGTGTTTCGGCACTGATATATATTCTCATTTGCTATGCCTTACTTCAGAACCCGTTTGTTCAGATACTGACATATGCAATTATGATGGCCTCACGCCAGAAACCACGCGAGTGCTTATCTTTTTCTTATTATGAATATAAAAAGAGTTTAGGGTCACATAGATAGCGACTACCTATGGGATAACAGAAAAAGACAAAAAAGGGCAATCTTTTTTTATATACAATTAGTCAATTGTCAAGACATCTATTAAAAGCACCTATGTCGTTTTTGTCAATTGTCACGACGTTTTTAAATCATTTAAAGCATATATGTCCAGCTCTTAATCGCCTAAGTCTGTAAAGCGTGTGATTAAATTTAAGACCATCAATGATATGTCAAAATGTGAAATAAACAATCTGAATAAAAGGAGACAACGTGTATACGTCAATGGGATAACAAACGACCATATCATAATATTCAGCAAAAGGCAACATTATAAAATTTAGCAAAAAACAACAACTGATGACATCCAGATTTGAGACAAGCACATGTACATGTAGAATGCGGAAAATTACTGAAAGCAGGCAAATAGAAAATGATCAAATTTAACATATATCTATGTATATTCGGAACCTATACCTTTACATTATACAAAAGGTGTTGCTAGATTCAACAGAGACAAAATGACACACTATGGGCATTTTGTTTTATTTATTTTTGTTATTATCTAAGACAATATATAATTTCATAATGAACATGGAAAAGACCTGGAAGTAATACATTTCATATATATATATATATATATATATATATATATATTCAGTTACACCAGCACCACGACAAACTACAACGACGACGCCGACGCCTTCATCTGTTTCCTCTACCAGCCCAACCTTGGTATCATCAACTATATCACCAGAAACATCAGTTCCTTTACACACATCTGATGCTACAACACAGCAGGATAACATATCAACAAAGCATAAGACAACAGTTACTGTAAACATAACGAAAACATCCTTTTCATCAAAGACGACAATATCTCAATCTAAACTTCAGCCATTGACGAAGACGACCACAACACCACCAAAACTGACCTCATCAACACCACCAAAACTGACCTCATCAACATTTCACGCACCGAAACCAACAGCTTCCTCATATATAAATCGTAAACCTGAATGTCCAGAGGTATTTGCCTATGGAATAAAATGGCCAGCAACGAGAATAGCTACAACAGTTAAGCAGCCTTGTCCTGATACGGCAGGTAAGAATTGCATATTTTACCAAGAAGATTTAATTTAACTATTATGATTTGCATAAAATCTATGACGGGCCTGACGGGTGCCACACGTGGAACAGGATCTGCTTACCCTTTCGGAGCACCTCTGATTCCACCCCCCCCCCCCCCCCCCCCCCCCCCCCCCCCCCACCCCCTCCTCCGCCATCCGGTTTTTGGTTGATTTCGAGTTGCTCAGTCTTTAGTTTTCTATGTTGTGTTTTGTATACTGTTGTTTGTCCTTTGGTCTTTTTCTTTGTTTACCATGACGATGTCAGTTTATTGTGATTTTGATTGTCCCCATGGTATCTTGTGCCTCTCTTGTACATTGATAAATAATTGGTTCTTATAATATTTTTTTTTATTAAATACGTGCTTACGATAAGAATAAAGTTTTGTACTTTTAGACATATAATATAAGAAAATTAAAGGATTAAAAACACCGATTTATTTCACAGTTACATTTGTTTAATGATGAACGTCATAACTTGTTTATAGGATATTCCACCTGGACCTGTGTTCCGAACTCAGGCTGGAAGGAACAGCCAAATCTGACAGAATGTTCCTCATCTGATATTCAAAGAATAAACAAAATGGTAATTATTTTTCATTGGCATATGACATGACATTATATTTACTTATTCAAAGCATGATCAGAATCATTTAAATAAAACTCTCTTGCATTACTGAATATGTTGCTTTTTTTGCACTTATGATAAACATGCGAACCAAATCAAATAAATGTATAAATGTTGTCAAGTTTTCCTTTTTAATATTTTATTTATCCATATTCACAATTGATTATCGAACTAAAGTTTTTTACAATATTGTATTTTTGATGTACACACGTGATTAACTTATACAGGTAGATTCCATTATTAATCGCAAGAGCGTTCCAACAACAGAGGACATGGTATCGATTGCAGCCAACTTAACAGAGAGTGTAGTCACTTCATATCACATGACAGCAGCAGATATTTCAACATCAACAGCCATACTGCATCATATGGTAAAAGCAAAGCCTAAAAATGTGAAAGAAACTGAAACGATGCTTAGGGTATGTTTAAAGTGTTGTTGAAAATTGATTATTTGTTTAATTATCATCGCTTAAAATGAACCGGAAACGGAACAGACAATACCATTGTCAAAAGCAACAACAAAAAATTCGAAAGGACAACAGTTCACAAAACATTACACAGAAAGATATGGAATCCATTGAAAAACTGTTGTTAATTTTATTTGGGAGCAAAATATTGAAACTATAAAAAATATGTTGGAAGAAGAATATTCATCACAATCTTGAGCAGTATATGTCTTGAATGGATTGTGATTGAATGTACATGAGAATCACTCATGCAATACAAGTAAACAGACAATATATTATATCCAGTGAACAGCGCTATAATGTAGTACCTGCTTGTTCATGGTTATGTATCTTCGTAAGTTCTAAGTTTAGAAATGGATTAACAATGAGTCCCGTTTCGAAGGCACAGATATTGTTATAATATATTTGAATGATGATATTAAGATTATAATAAGTTACCATAAAGATAGTTCGTGTAGCTCGGTCTTTGGTTTTCTCTGAAGTCTTTTATAGAATGTTGTTTGTCTTCGATGTTTTACGTCTTTTTGGAATGGTTTTTGTCAGTTTCTCCTTGACTTATGAATTTTGATTGTCCTTGTGGTATCTTCCGCTGCTTTATTAAAGTCTGATTACCTTTTTATTGAATGGAAAATCACACAATAACGAAACTATTTGGAAATTCCAGATCACGTGAAATGGAGAAATTGTCGACGCACAACTTTAAATTTTTTTGTTTATTTTAAATTTAAATATAAAAATTTATATTCGCTTTTATTATAAATTATTCTACAGGAAGTTGTTAAGGCTGGGAATTACCTGTTCAGCAAAACAGAAGTGAGTAGAAATATCCTGTCAGATGACAAAGAACGTGCTGCATCAGACCTCTTGTTTGTTATCGAGGATACTGCTTTAAGAATGACCGATGCTCTTCAGACCACTGCATCTATTAGTACGAAAACAGAAAAAATATGTAAGCATCAAATTTTTGAACAATTATTTTTAATTGTCTTGAATTATGCCAATACCCTGTAACCAGTTTTTTAAGAATCCAATTCTGAATCTAAATATTAAATTTTCATTTTGCTCTGTATGAGGACAATTTCAAGAAGAATTATTATAATTTTATTAGCTAAATCTCCAAACAGGCAAGTTGCTTTTTGTAAACTGATGTATCGAGAGTAAAAAGGTTTATATCATTGTAGATGTTTCGCTCAATGTACTGAATACAAGTTCTTCTGCACAAGACTTGGAATACAACAGAGGAGAGGAAGGAACAAGTTTCATTATACCATACTCAGTTTTACAAAAATATAGATCAGGTAAAGCGTGCAGTTAAAACTCTGTAACACATCATTATCTATATAAAAGTGTATCAGAAGGGAAGAAGAGGCCTTTTAATTCAGTGCACCAGAAGTGCGTTTCATCTACAGAAGACTCACCAGTGTCATTCGAATCTAACAGCGACCACTTAAATGTTCCGAATACATCTTTCTAAACAATAAAAGATACTAATGGGTAATACAAATCATAACTCGAAGATGACAGACAACACAATAACCAGACGAAAAATAAAAGGAAAATACTACATTATTTCACCGAGAAAGAGAAAAAAAAACCGAGCAACACGAATCTAATTTAAAACATGGTGAATGAAAAAATGTAATACCTCTCAGACTTGGATTTCAACTTTTACAATTATCTGTCAAAGTACATACAATATATGTCCCATTACTCTTGTTCAATACAATTGACCATCCAATTTTCCCCAATTATTCTGACAGATTTAAAAAATTAATCCATCTTTGCTTCGTAAACTGTCAATGTAGAAATAAATCCATTGATATAAGAAGGCACAAATCATACTTCATTTTGTTATTTTTAGAAAGGTTTCATTTTAAGACCTATCAAATTGATTGATTTTTTTAATACCCGAAACATATCTGTTCCGTTTGTTCGACGTTTTTTTCAACAGACAGTCGACATTCAGTAGAAACCAACTTTTTCTCTCTACTTGTCAACTGCTTTCTTTATTCGTTATAGACTGACTTCATACAATCTTTAAAGATACTAACATTATCTGTTTGTCCTCACATTGAATAGTTTGAAGTTTGGTGACTATGTTGCCCCGATCTATCCCACTCAACTTAAAATACTAAACTAAATTACAACAATGTTGTTTTTTACAGATGGAATAGTCAAGGCGGTATTTATGACTCATTATGATCTGGGTAATATTCTGAAGACTAACGATGATACGGCTGATGTAGAAGTTGCCAGCAATGTTGTATCAGCTTCAATAGCGGGAGACAAAACCATTGAGTTTCCATGTCCTGTCAGGTTCACCATCCAGTTATCACGGGTAATGCAGCTAGTTTTTAGTGTTTGTAAATAATATTATGATAAACTTATCTTTCCCAAGGAATGTCAAAAATTATTTTCATTTTCAAATCGTTCGTTCATTGAGCTTCTCTAAAATCTAATATTATTCGTATCAATTTACTTCGAATTGGAATAGTACAAATGAGAACAAATATGTATCTAATGGTACCTTTTTTATCTGCTCTGAATACTGATATTTCAATAACTTTATTTTACAAGAATATATTTTATTCCAGACCTATGGGAAAGCTGCTCAACCGTTATGCTCTTTTTGGAATTTCTCAGAAGGGTAAGTCCAATATCATTCGAAAAAGGGTTAAATAATGGAAGTTCCTGTAAACTATGAAATACAATACATATGCATTAAAGCAATAAAAAAATGTTTAAAACGATAAAACATCTTTTCTTACCCCTTAATGGACTCACTAAATAAGTAAAAATAACACTTGATGAATTTAAATAGTATGCTCGAGGCGCTTTCCTGTAGTAACCCTTATCAGAAACGCTCAGAAAGCTAAGGATGTATGAAAACTCGAGGAGCTATATGAACAAACGGGGCCCGAAAAGAATAGTCGAAACCCTCTAACGTCAACTTTGTCTGGAACCTTAGTTTCTTAATAATATATAATGTAAATTGTTGATCGAATATTTAGACAATGAATTGTTTCAATGTCGTATGTATAATTTTCATTCAGTGTTTATGGACAATGGTCACAAGAAGGCTGTAATTATGTTAAAGGAAATGCAACGCACGTGACATGTCAGTGTACCCATCTAACAAACTTTGCTATATTGATGGATGTTTCTGGAGTAAAGGTACTAAATAAATTGAAAAGATAGATAACTGGTAAATAAATAAAGTTACAGCTAGCTAGAGACACAAAATGAACATGGTGGACAGTTTTCTCATAAGCAAACTTACCACCTCTTTTAGTTTTTTTATGCCCCGCGACAAAATGCCGAGGGGCATATTAATTTACCCTGTCCGTCCGTCTGTCAGTCCGATCGTCAGTCCGTCCGTCCGGATTAGGATACATTGTTTGTCCGGCTATCTCCTCCTACAGTTTTGGAGGTACAACTTTAATATTTTGTAGGATGTTCATACACATAATGAAGGTGTGCATGGCCACAGGATTTTGATTTTTTTCAAATATTCTGAAAATGACAGGTAGTTGGACTTTGTCATTACTAGCTGCATAAAGAGATCATGGTTTGGACGGCTATCTCCTACAGTTTAGGAGGTACAGCTTTAATATTTAGTAGGATGTTCATACACATAATGGAGGTGTTCATGGCCACAGGATGTTGATTTCTTTTAAATATTCTGAAAATGACAGGTAGTTGGACTTTGTCATTTTTTTGGTACTAGCTGCATAAAGAGATCATGGTTTGTCCGGCTATCTCCTCCTACCGTTACATCATCAAACATAGTGTTAAATTTATAATTTCGTATGGTCAGGCGGGGGCATCAATTGTGTATTACAGACAGGGGAACACTTTCAAGTTGTATGCCAACACCACTGTTTGTCAAATCTAAAACATGTGGAACTATACTCATGCATATGGCAGAGCAGAAAAGGGAGGGGGCATTGTCCATATCTAGTTTATAAGATATCATAACTTAAATCGATGTAGATTACAATTAAACAATTACATTTTTATGAAAACAAAAGTGACATTTTTTAATGTTAGAATTTTAGAGTTAAAGAAGTAAGAAGACATGAGAAGAAGGACAGACAAGTTCAAGTCCAAAGAAAAAAAACGAAAGAAAAATCATAAAACACTATACTTAAATCTAAAGATAACACATAATACTAACAAAATAACAGTATTCATTCATGCTATGATTGTTTAGTGGATGTAAAAATATCTCAACATAAACACAGAAGGTTTTAATAAATTATATTTATATATTTCAGCTGACATACGAACACACAAAATTCTTGAGATACATAACTTTTATTGGTTGTATCATCTCTATATCTTGTTTAGCTTTGAGTTGGATCACATTTCAATGTGTCAGGTAATAAACATTATATATAAGTATACCAGCAAGTCGTTTGGCGCTATAAAGTTAATTATCAGACTAGTATTGTATAATTTGGTTTCCAAGTCTGTAAAAGTGAGGCGAAAGATACCAAAGGGATATTCAAACTCATAAGTCGAAAACAAACTGACAATGCAATGGCAAAAAACGATAAACGACTAAAAGACAAACAACAGTACACAGAACTCAACATAGTTAACTAAAGACTGAGCAACATGAACCTCATCAAAAACTGGGGGGTAATCGAAGGTACTCCGGAAGGGTAAGTTGATCCTGTTTCACATGTGGCATATTCGGTTATTTTTTTTCAAATCCAAACGTTTCTTCAGTCGGAACGTGCATTAATTGTTTTCAAAATGCCAATTAATAAATAAACACCTGACAGATTCTAGCTTTATATATCTCAATGTGTTCATATCATTTTCTTTCATTTTTAGATCTCTGGATGGGGAACGAAATTCCATTCACAAAAATCTTGTATTTTGTCTTTTTGCTGCCGAACTAATATTTATAATCGGTATTGACAGAACAGACGATAGGGTAAGTTTATCTAGTGTAGTGTTTAGTAACTGTTTGTTTGTGCATTAAAATATATTCAAACATTAACAGAAACTGCTACATAAACCAAGATTATCTTCTCTTAAGATATGATGATAACTAATGTAACATTTTGGGGATAATTTTTGCGAAAAGATTGGCAACAATGCTCTTTAAAAACAAATGAAAACATCACTTTATAAATTTTAAGCGTCTGAAGCGCTTTTCTGGATGTACTTTCACTAGGAACACTCAATGCCAAATATTATATATAAAAAGTATTAAAAGATATGAAAAGTTAATGATTCAATACGTTAAGGACTTTTTCTTTCTGATTCCTGCTATAATTTTTTTTATAACTTGAAAAGGTTTAAGACTTGTAAATTGTTGTTTTCTTAACAACCAGTGGCAAATATTTCATGCAAATTAAGGAAGAGAAGAAAATGAACGTCGGGGTATGGATATGGACAGAAATAAGGAAAACTGGTCAATATTCAAATACATTTTTTCTTGATTTTTAATCATGATTTTATAAAACATAAAAAAAGGAAATAACGTGAATTGAATCATATATTTGTAAGCAAAACCTAGAGCCGCTAGATCCTACCTCCATTATAACTTGTTTTTTTTCTGTTCCTTTTTGGATGATTCATTGTACATTTATTCCAAATGTATTTTATAATTGAAATGATCCCATAAAACAAATTGTGATATTACAGGTTTCCTGTGCTGCTATTGCATTGCTCCTTCATTTCTTTTTCCTGTCATCTTTTATGTGGATGTTAATGGAAGGTGTCCACATTGTGGTTCTTCTTCAACAAGTCTTTGATACTGCCAAGAATAATATGAGATATTACTACCTCGTAGGATATGGTGAGTAAAAGTGATACTTATGACGCCAATGTACGTACAGAAATAATTGACATTTGTATTGATAAAAATTGAACCGAACAAAAAACAAAAAATCTTTCGTAAAGCCTTTGCCCAGATAACACCATACCAGCATATTTTTCGAAATAACATTTCAGATGATGTGTCCCTTAAGAAATATATTTTTCTTAAGATATCAATTAGTTCTTGAAGCTTCATTTTATTGTGTACCTATTTTAAAATGCCAATAATTATGAGGGGCATCTTTAACAGTTTTTTGTTAAATTTGGAGTCATCCCTTCTATCCTTACAAGTTCGCTATTCTTATAAAATATCAGATTTCTCAGACTGAGCAAAAACAGAAATAGGTGGCAAAACGTGTTTACATCATATGACCATTGAAAATACAACAGGGCTTCAAAACAGTTATGGAAAGTTGTAGACAAGAATAGAAGTAGTATTACACTGTTAAATGAAAAAGATACTTTTTTCATAAATTTGGTGCATTCGAAGCGCTTTTCTGGATTTATACTTATCAAGAACGCTCAAACCTCAATATTGACGATGGTCAATTTGACCAATTGTACAAGAAAGATATCAATGCTGTGGAATTTAAGCTCATTTTTATTCTGTTCAGATGATTGTAATATTTGGTACTTTATTGTAAAAGGGTTGCTGCACAAATATATCGAAGATTATTGTCTGTTGAATTATACCATCTTGTAATTGAAAGTCCTACATCTGAGGACACTGTTACTCATATCAGACAAATAACCTTTAAGTGAGTCATGTATTTGATATGCATTATCATTATTTTAGGAATATCAATTACAATCGTTGGTACAACAGCTGGTATAAATTTTAAGGCATATGGAACGGACGATTTGTAAGTACAATATGGCGAATCTAAATAATCAAATGAAATAAACATATTTGACGAAACTCATCCAATCTATCTTATTTGTGTATAGAATTTCTTTTTTAATGTTCACGTGCATTTACATATTCTTCGCTTTCCTAGAGATGATCAGAATACATTCCATTAAGATTGAGAAAAATCAACACTTAAGTCATCATTTGTAATATTATTAATGATGCGAATTAATGAAGCCAAAATAAAAATTAGTCAAAAGGTTCTATTACCTGTTCTATACAAATGATTGAGCTTGATATACTTGGTAATCATACTAAATCTTCTTATTTTCATTTTAATTTTATACAGAGATTTGAAATTGCAAGTGTCAAACTTCCTTCATTTGTATGTAAATGAAATTATTTATTTAATTCCATCTACTTCAGCTGCTGGATAACAACAGACCAATGGTTCATTTGGAGTTTCACGGGACCAGTTGCTGTAATATTGATAGTATGTTTTATGTCTTAGATCTATAGATACCAGAATAGTCGTTTAATCTGTAATTTTACCGACTGTGACCTTTTCTCTAAATGTGGATTCGCATGACGGGTGATGCATACATAACAGGAGATGATTACCCTGTCGACGTACCTCGTCTCGCTCCTTCTGGAATTCATGCGATTCCCTCATGTTGTGTTTGTTACCTTCGTTTGTCTTCTTAAGGATGTTCACTCCTCTTGTTTTTGAATTTTTGTCAGATATTCGGAATCCTCTGGTTTTATCCATGTAGTGCCAATACATATTTTGCCCGCTAACCCCTACTTTTATTTTCATAATTTTATTACATATAGTTTAAAAAGCCATATTTGAAAATCTTATAAAATCCTTGTTATTTTTTCATAGATTTTGAAAGAAAAAAGGTGCTAATGTTAAATGTATGAAAAATCCAGAGAGAATCATTTCCCGCCAAGTTTTCAATGGCTTATATCTCAAAAACAAGGCCACGGACCCTTCATTTTTTCCTGCTTTTATAGTTCCATTATTTATATACTATTAATTTATATCAGTCTTTTAAAAAGCTTGTTATTTTGAAGCAGAGTAGCGAACATCCTTAATCGATTTATAATATTTGAACATTGGTAAACTACTGTTGGCTTAATTTATTTAAATCTTTATAGAGTATAGACATGTCCTCTAAGACTATAGTTTTAACTTTGTAAATACGAAGAATCAAGTTAGAGTTAAGCTGCATCTGTTTCATATTTTATAGCAGGTGAATGTAAGGATTATAGTATAGTTTCTTCAATATCATAAAGACTTACATTGTATAAGAAATAATATTAGTATATGTTTTCATATAGTTTATTTAAACGGAAAAGGTGATTGAATATCCATGCATGGTACTTATCACAAAATCCGTCTAACCGAATTACCTAAATTATGAATTATAGTTCGACTATTTTCTAAAAATAATTTACAAAATAGCTGACGGTTAAAAATTTTTGCTGTAATTTTAATTAGTTCTGCAGTGAGGTACGACATATAATTATAATTATTGAAACAAATACGAATACGTGCATTATCTAAAGGTTACATAAAGTGAGATATAATTGATGATAATACTGTAGTTCATGACCAGATCAATTTAATATCTTTTTCAGATTAATACAACAATTCTTATGTACGCCTTATCAATGGTATGCAGGCATTCAGCATACGTATTTGCTAGGGAAAGAAGCCAGCAAAGTAATTTCAGGTGAGAAAAACGAATGCAATTTTTCATAAACTTTAGCTTTAGTTTTCTCTGTTGTTTTTGTGTGCTATGTGTTGTTTATCTTTTGGTCGTTTTTCTTTTTTTGCCATGGCATTGTCAGTTTTTTTTTCGACTTATGAGTTGAATATCTTTTTGATATATTTCGCCTCTCTTTTATTATATTGGTGACAACGAGGTTCTTTGATAGAAACATAGACAGCACTGGTAACACACTGGTAACTCACCGGAGAAGTGTTCTATAATTGTCCATACAGTTCTAACTGCAAGTACATTTCATTCACATGCCATTTTTGACTTTTAAGTTCAATCAAACCTTTTACATAGTCTATAGATTTTATCAACATTTGTTTGAATTTACAGGGCATGGATACAGGGTGCTTTTGCTGTTGAAGTTCTTCTGGGATCAACATGGGTATTTGGATATTTCTTCATCAATGAATCAACAGTAGCGTTTGCATATACATTTACAGTTCTCAACAGTATTCAGGGACTTTTCATTTTCATATTTCATTGTTTATTGAATAAAAAGGTAAGACTGTTTTCCCATATTATTTTTTTTATCTAATCATTAAATACATATCATATTTATATTTAAGACTCATACTCTGCTTTGAACTATGTGGAATATATTGAAGATATTGTGAATTTTAGGGGCTCCAGTCTATAGTTTCAACCTGGAGTGTAACTACACAGACTAAAGACACAAAACACAAGACTTCACAGGAAAAATAAGATAAAAGTTGCAATTCAAATAAGAATTGAATACTCCTTTTTGTAACTTTATTGTGGTGTAAAAAGTAAAATTACAAAAATACCGAACTCCAAGGAAAATTAAAACCAAAAGCTCAAACACATCAAACGAATGGGAAGCAACTGTCATATTCCTGACTTGGTACAGGCATTTTCTTATGTAGAAAATGGTGGATTAAACCTGCTTTTATAGCTAGATAAACCTCTCACTTGTATGAAAGTCATATAGAATTCCATTATATTGACAACAATGTGTGAGACAAACAAACAGACATAATAGATAAAAATGTCAAAAATTGGGGTACAGCAGTCAACATTGTGTTATAATATTAATCACTATAAAACAAATAACGATTTCAACAAAGAACAACAAAATGGCATATAGACACTCTTATAGACAAAGTACAAAAATGAAAGACAAGAATACAAAAATGACCTTAGCACAATAACACAATGGCGGGATGCATAAATACCTAGCCACGCCAAAAGTATATACAAAAAATGGACTAAACAGTAAAGGTTAAAAATATGAAGAACACTATAACATGTAATTAAGATGATAACGACGTCAGTACCTAGCATCTTTACTTCAAGACCATCATGTATTATTTGTTAAACGCGTTTACCGACGTACATTTTGTGTATCGCTTCATACTAAAAATGTTTGCACGATCAACGCTTTTACAACCCTATTTAACTACAAAAAGAAATATTCCATTCCTATAATTACATGAGTATACTATACAACCATGAAAATACGAGTTATAGCAAACTTTTCGCTGAAATTTCCTATGCATTGTTGTGATGCTGTTATGAGAAGCAGGTGGCGCAGTCAACGATGTTGAAATTTATCACGCAACACAATTTGATATTGAAATTCCTCGTGATTGCTTTATGTCAATCAAAAGTACGGATTCTTAGACCGCATGAAACATACATGTACAAAATGTAATGTAATTGTAGAACAATGAGAACAAGAAACAAAACAGTGCTAACGAAAAGGTGCGCAGTATTTTGACTTCATATTGATGGTATCAGAATACTTGAGATATAAATAGTTTTTAGAAATAGGATCGGGTGTTATTAGAAGTCAAATACTATTGATAAAAGGGGACATTTAATTGTTATCTCGACTGTCTTATCGAGCCTGTAATCAATACGCACTAATTAGATACTATCTAGGTGAACATGTCGATATCAATCTTTCTCAGGTCCACCTGCGTCATGACTGTATACATATGCACTCATGTCAGAGTACATATATTAAATGACTATAGGGTGCATATTTAAAAATTATATTGGAACAATATTTAACACTCAAACTACCATCAAAAACTCACGTGTATCATAAGACATTACGGGTTCATTTGTCTCTTACGTGACTATTATCTTGTATTCAATTCAAGGAAGACGTAAATGAGATATCTCAAACTTAAATTGTAAAAAACAAATAATCACAGCATCTCGAGAGACGAGCCTACGTAAACTCGTATATGTATCATATGTAGAGATTATTCCCATGAAGTTTAATGAACAAGATAATATTAAAAGAACTGTTTAAATATCAAATAGCAAAATAAAATAAGACTCATAATCAAAGTAACTTTAATATCAAATACAACGAATGAAATCTGTTTTTAAAATTGTTCAAGTTTTTTTAATAATAAACTTTCTTTTTCTTTCAGATTCGCTTTGAATACAAAAAACTGGCACATGTAAGACACAACTCGCAAAGTTCGACAAAATCAGCGTCATTCAAAAAGAAAGACGGTTCATATGAAGTGTATGTTTCAACTTGAGTAAAGTGGACAAAGGACGCCCCAAATGTGTTCAATACATTGGCCAGTAATACATGCATAATTACGTTTACATTCTATGCATAATCAAGTGTTATTTTTGCGTACGAAATGATAGTGTTCACCTACAAGGAGTTTCTTAAATAAGACAAATAAAGGAAACGTATGCATTGTGAAGAAAGGACGAGCATAATATGTACATTTATGTTTACTGTATATATATATATACATATAGATGTCATTTTCTGAAAATCACATTTATTTTCAGATCAGATCATGATTTATTGAATCGTATATTGTTGACAGTTGATTTCAATATTGCTTTAAATAAATGTTTACATATTGATAGTCATACACGGTTCTTATTTAAAGAAATATTTTAAGGTCGCTGATTTTCAATAATGACTAATTGCAGATTAATGGTATTTTTTAGTTCTTCCGCTTTTGTTTGCATGTGTGTTTTCGCTTGTCTGTCAATATATTGGATCACCTATATTGCCGTCTTTTTGTTCGGCTGACTGTCTGCTTTTCTTTTTGTTCAAATATTCATCTGTTCAATTGTCTGAATGTTGATATTTGAGAAAGGAGAAGAAAATACCACTGAGCAAGCAAAATCATAAGTCAAAGAAAAACACCATCCACAACAGAAAGAAGACAACAACAGTCCACCAAAAACTACACAGAACACAAAAGTTTTAGCAATACCAAAGACATATAACTTATATGTCTCTGGAAATAAGAACCCAATCATTAACACCAGGAGTACACTCAGTTCTCCGGAAGGATACGCAGTTTCTACTCCACGTGCGAAATATTTTGCGACAGCTCGACTTGATTTACGATTTTACGATTTGTTTTGTCGAGTATTTCCGTCTAATTTGTAAAACTGATTTTCTAAATACCAAATAATCTACAGTTAATTCGTTCACGGATCAAAAACATGCACCAACGGAACTGGGTCAATGCAACTACTTATGATATTTTTTTACAGAATTTTATAAAGAGGTCAAAAGGTTTTATATTGACCAAGAATTCTACAATAAACTTAAAATGTTCTACGGAGACGATATCTAATGAAGCACAATCAAGTACTACTCAGAAATCGTTATGATTTTGTAACTATTGACAAAGTTGCCAACAGTGTTGTTGTTGTTTGACACAAGTACGACATTGAGATTACTCTCTCTAAGTAAATATACATATAATCGTAAATAAAAATCATCATGTCTAATTAACAAATAAACATGACTACCGGTTCAGAATATCTCAGTTTTGTCTTGATGTTATTGCTTTTTGTCGAGCCTTCGACTTTAGTCGAAAAAGCGAGACATAGCGATCCTACATTCCGTCGGCGGCGTCGTCGTCGTCGTCGTCGTCTTCGGCGGCGTCCACAAATATTCACTCTGTGGTTAAAGTTTTTGAAATTTTAATAACTTTCTTAAACTATCCTTGATTTCTACCAAACTTGGACAGAAGCTTGTTTATGATCATAAGATAGTATCCAGAAGTAAATTTTGTAAGAAATAAAATTCCATTTTTTCCGTATTTTACTTATAAATGGACTTAGTTTTTCTGCCAGGAAACAATACATTCACTCTGTGGTTAAAGTTTTTAAAATTTTAATAACTTTCTTATACTATTTTGGATTTGTACCAAACTTGGACAGAAGCTTGTTTATGATCAAATGCTAGTATCTAGAAGAAAATTTTGTTTTCTTCCAGTTAACATTACATTCAGTCTGCAGTTAAAGTTTTTAAACATTTATTAGATTCATAAACTATCCTGGATTTTTACAAAACTTGGACAGAAGCTTCTTACAATCAAAAGATAGTATCAAGAGGAATATTTTTATTGATTTACTTCCTCATTTTTGTTGAGCCTGCGATTAACAGAAAAAGTAGGCGAGACACTGGGTTCCGCGGAACCCTTACGAATTTTTTAAGGAAAAGTCATATAACCGAAAAAAAAATCTGTTGGCTAATACTACAACTATTAAAGAAATGATTATATATGTTGCCTGAAGCTTAAGCTAATTGGGCCTAAAATAAAATATCAATAATTTTTTTTATAAAATTTCCTCGTGACAAAAGACAATATAACTAATAAATGAAACACGACAATGCAAAATAATAATAAAATATTGGGTACGAGTTGGAAGAAGTACGAGTTGGTTGAGTACGAGTTGGCAAAGGTGCGATAGGTTCCGAAGACACTTACTAACGGACACGAGATTCAGATGACAGGTGACACACGCATTGCATCAGTTGTTTACTCTGTCGACTTGCCTGGTCTCACTCTGCTTTTATCTGAAATTATCTGTTTACATTTTTGAAATTATTTCAAATTTAGGATTATATCTACCTCATGCAAAGCTCTGATTTCTTGTCCGGCTTTGGTATACTTTTTGCCCTTTTTGGTTTTATCAGTCAGTCTTCTATTTTTTTTTTTAACAGGACTAATATATTTTATTGCACACTATTGCTGTTAACAATTTACTTAGTGTACATCATTACACTAAGTATCCCTGATATATTAGTTATTAGGTATCCAGGAAGAATATGTAATAAAAGTAAATTCAATTTTTTAATAAATGTTGGATTTTCAAATATTTTGGCTTCGAGCATCACAAAAGAGACATGTATTATCGAAATGTGCATCTGCAGTAAAATTGATACCGTTAATGTTATTACATCATGCATTTCCTATGGTTGTCAGTTCGTTTGTAATAGAAAAAGATTGTTCAATCTTACATTAAATCCGTACATAATAAGGTCTATTATACGTAAAATCAAAACAGAAAAAAAAAAAAACAGGTTAAAGAATAAATAATTCATTTGATTGTGTACGTCATTTATAGTTATATAAAAGCAGAAAAAGAAATATGCCTGTCAAAATGATAAACATTTCTCAATAAAACTGTGCACTAGAATACAATTTGAAAGATGCTGTGAAAAAGAGCAGCTATGACATGAAATATGACTATTCGAGGGTGAACAAAATCTTCATTTCTCCCTACGACAAGGGAAATAAATTTCTATTGATACTAATACACCTTCAATTCACTCCAAACAAAGGGAAATTAATGACTTATATCACTGCTTATTCGTTTTTAACTTTTTGAATACAGTATAAAATATCCATATACATTTATTTTTCTTATCCGCTATAATTATAAATGACGTAAGCAGTATCTCAAAATCAATTATTTATTCTTTAACTTTTTATTCAATAGGAAGCACTTTTGGGGGAACTAATAACTTCCCCGTATTATAACTTCCGAAAAATGTAAGTTATTGTACGGTATGACGTTACTGAGTGGAAGTTGTAGCACAGACTAGCTCCTCCCTTTAAGCATCTTAACGATTTGTATTACAGATATTTTAAAGGCAAACACACGAAACCATGACACAAGATCAAATGTTTACTTCTTACATCATTTGTTGAAAATACAAACATGTGCAATTTAACGAACCATTTATTTTCTAAAGCCATTCGACCTCCGATTTAAAGATCCAGTTTTTAACACGGAATAAACGGATTAAAAATTAATCCTTATTTTGTTAATTGAAAAGGTGTCAAACAATGTACGTAAGTTTAGTAATAAACAATGGCAACAAATGTGTGATTGATTCTATGGTACTGACACCAAACAATTGACATCATAGGAAACATTTTCATAGCTATTATGGTTACAACAAAATCGTTAAAGAATTTATAAGATTTATTTATAGTCGGATTTCGCTTTTGCTTTGACACTGTTGATTGTTATCATGATTGGAATAGCTGAATCGGCACATATATTTTTGCGCTTTTCAAACTGACAATCTCATTGCAAAAAATGTAAAAATAAGGAGATGTGGTAAGATTGCCAATCAAATAAATATCCACCAGAGACCAAATGACGAGGACGTCAACAACCGTAGCTCACCGTGTAGCCTTCAACAATGAGCAAATGTCAAAGCGTAAAGTAAGCTATAAAAGATCCCAGTGTGACACATATGAAACAATTCATAAGAGAAAAATAAATGGTCTGATTTCTGCTAAAATTAAAAAAGAAAACAATTATTTTATACACAGTGTAATGTAGACAGCAAATCAAGAGCAGCCTCTGAATTACAGGTTCCTGACTAAGAAAATGTACCGATAAAGAAATGGGGACAGATTTAACATGTTTGTAAAAGTTTAACCTCTACTAACCCGGGGCTGTGGTGTAGCAATACAAAATAAAAATAAACTGAAAAAAATAATTGGAAAAGGCTTAATTGACTCCTCAGATCGGCGCGAGGAACACAAAAAAAAACTATTGTTGACAAATGAAAAAGACAAAAAGACACACAGTACAGATCTATTAGAGTACTCGCTGTTACTTAAAGCTAGTTAAAAGTTTTTAATATTTTTTTTAAATTCCTATTATTGAAAGATTTGCATTAGCATAATGTCAAGAGAAATTTATTTACGGGAATTTGAACAAGTAAACATTCTATCAACTGGCACAATCTGAAGAGTGGTCTCGCTTGGACAAAAACTAATTGTTTCGTCTATCACTTGGTAACTGGGTCAGAAATTTGGCATACACAAGGTCACCTTGGACCCTATGAAGAGTAGTTGGCCGGTTATTTTACACCAAGTTCCTTTGATTTTTTTTATCAGAAGTAAAGTCATAATCCTGTAACCCATTTACTCACTTAAAGGGTCAATTATGTTTAATACTATATCTCTTTGAGCACTACATGTTATAATTAAATGGTGCAAGCTCAGGTATGAAACAGACCCTGCTATTTGAAAACTGTATTTAATTTGCTATGTCACCTTGGAACTTATTGCTATTGAAATAAATCACATGAAGTTCGTCGCCTGTTTTGGCCAAAGCTTTAATCATTTCTCAATTTTCTTAAGGTATCGTGTTTTCTTTCTCGTTTGTTAATTTTTTAATTCTTGTTCCTCACAGTATTGCACTATTTTCACATCCGCTCTATTTTCTCCGCCTTAATATCCGCGTTTTTTATTTTGTACATTGATTTCATTATTCATTGGGACTATACATTGATTGATTGATTAATTTTTGGTGTTTAACGCCACTTTTAGCACTATTTGCTATATCGTGTCGGTCAGTTTTTAATTGGTGGAGGAAGCCGGAGTGCCAGGAGAGAACCACCGCACCTTTGCAGGAAAACTGGCAATCATAGTCAATTAAGATTGGAGTCCAACGTGCGGGGTTTGAACAGACAACCTCCTTGTTGACAGGCTCAATGAAGACAGGCTAGTATTACAGCAGATGAACTACTTAGATCCGTCGGTCACCGAGGCCCCCTCCCCCTTATTTAGAGAAATTTTATCATAGTAAACTGAATAAAAGCCCCGTTTTAATACATTATCTTGGAATCGATTACATGTATCTTTGCATCTATCAATCATTTCATCGATATCATATACAAGATTAGAATTGCGTCATTTTAGTTAGTCGTTACAATCTGAATCAAAAGAAATGATATTAACATTTAATTAAATACTCAAAACAAAGTATCCTTCAAGTGGGTCTGTAAAAATAGCTGCATGACCATGATTAAGTCATTTGTTAGTGTCATATGGTTAATTAAACATACATATCATCAACTGCTGAAAATGCTTATTTTATGTCCTAATTTTCATTTTATCTCCGTAATTATCAAAATTGTTGAAGAGAATATGTAATTCCTTTTTTGCTTGCCATATTACGATTTGCCAAATCGAAATTTGAGAATTAAATACATACCATGATTAAATATTTCTAATTACTATCTTACATCTCTTTGATTAACAGCATTGAACAAATTGTATGTGATAATGCACTGGAAATAACTACATTGAAAAAAAAAAAAGAAAATATGAATAAAAGGGGTATACGAGAATGAGAGAGCAATCCAACGACAGAAATAAACAAACTTAATCTGGAGGACGATATAGTAAAAAACAGATATGTATCGTATCTATAAAATATGTCAAACTATAGCCCCGAGTTTATACACATTGAGAATAATTTTAACAGAATATAACAGATAGGACATCAACACCTAATTTCTCCCAAATAATAAAAAAATATTGAGATAAGACCTACTTCTGACGAGGTTTCTGTCTTTTGGACGAGCACAAAAAAAACCTATCCAAAATTATCCTTACTTTCACCAATTATGAGGGTAAAATAGTAAAGGAAATTGACACTATAATTAAATACTATTTTATATAACAATGTAGGTACTCATAAAATACATTTCTTCTTATAAGCTTATTTTTTATGATTACACAAAAACACCAATATGTAACAGTTCCTTAAGGTAATACTGAAAGAAATAAAATTATAACGAATCCACATTTAAGCTTAATTGACTGAGAAGGAGACAGCATGTTGTCTATTTACGCGTGCTGACCAACTTTCCCCCTGCTTCACAGTAATTAACATTATAAACGTTTTCAGTGGATCATGGTAGCGTTTCTTGATTGCGGAAGATTTAAAACTGCTTCTGTGCATGGTTCATGGTAGCGTTCTCTGAATGTGGAATGTTAATAAGCGGCTCAAGAGGGTTGAGGGCTCTTACCCTATCGGGATAAATTATGGATCCTTTCCACTACATAGCTGCATCAACAATTTTTGGCGGACGAAAATGAAGCTATTACTTAATTTATAACTGCTTATAATTTGTATGAGACCAATTGATCAGCCACCTTATATTCCATAGACAGGAGTTTCAAAGACGAAGAAACGACTGTTCACATCACATCGAAAACTTGTGTGTTATAAACCGCATCAAATTGGTATATGGGCACTTTTAGCTCCTCTAGTTGTAAAATGGTCCCGTTTTGCTGGCAAGATGTGAATTCGATTCTTTTTCTTATTTGGAAGTGAATCAATAGAAAAAAGTGATTTAAAAGTTATATTATAATAAATGTAAAATACAGAGACTATCATGGTTATACTCGGAAAATTCATTTTGATTTCCAGGAATATTTAAAATTCGTCAATCTAACATTAACTAAACGCGATGCTCATTTAGTGGAGTGCCTCTGTAAAACCAAACTTTAGTACTGATTGGTATTTGCTGCTTCTCCGCTAAGCACGAATTATTTAGGAAAAAGAAGACACGGAAATACATTTCGCTCTGACCGAAAAAGAATATCTGCTTTGTGTAATGTCTTTCTTCTGTGATGCTACCTTCTTGGCTAGCATGTTCAATGTCCAAATAAGCATGCAGGGTAATTTCGAATGGTTCTCAATATAAATGCTTTATATGCCTCTTCTTTCATCAAAATTTTTAAATTTTAACCTTTCTTGATATGTTGAAATATACACAACAAAAAACAATAAAAAAAAAAAAAAAAAAAAATGAACCCAACCGAATAACAAGATCAGGACTTATAAGTGACAGCAATCCAATTAAAATAAAGATCTCTGATTAAGTTATCCTTATATAATACGAGCACGTGAGTTGTGAGATTGAAGTGACATTTATCTGATTTGTAGTAGGTAAACGTCGAAAATGAAATAAAAACAAAAACAAATTGAGCAAAGAAATGGATTTAAGGTTTTACCTAAAATTAAATAAAATCTTCGGACACTCAAAATTTGAGAAAGGACTCCTTGTCTAAGGAGTTGTAAACAGTTTCTGCTAGGTATACTTGGTAACAACCGCAATACGGACTACTCAGTATTCAATTCTGTGATGTTTCTATGACAAAATATGATGAAAGTTACAGGAGCCCGGAGATGACCCCCGATTTTTGCTGGGGTTCGTGATGCTCAGTCTTTGGTATTCTATGTTGTGTTTTGTATACTGTTGTTTGTCTTTTGATCGATTTTAGTTTTTTGCCATAGTATTGTCAGTTTGTTTTGGAATAATAAGTTTGAATGTCTCTTTGGTATCTTTCGCCTCTCTTTTACAGTTATTCATGAAACAAGTGTTGTGCGCAACATGCGGCGCCTGGTATATGGACCCCCTCCCACCTTGTTATAATTTAGATTTTTATATCTAATTTTCTTTAATATTTCAACTTATTTTCCCTTATTTTATTAGTTCTTGCTCTTATCAATGCTATAGTTATTTTCCATTCGTTTGATGTGTTTGAGCTTTATAATTTAGATTTTTATATCTAATTTTCTTTAATATTTCAACTTATTTTCCCTTATCTTATGTGTTCTTGCTCTTATCAATGCTATAGTTGTTTTCCATTTGTTTGATGTGTTTGAGCTTTTGATTAGCCAGTTGATAAAAGACTTTCTGTTTTTTCCTTGGAGTTCGGCATTTTTGTGATTTTGCTGTTTTATCTTACAATTACTGTATGCAAACGTGCTCTCAACTATAAAAGTTTGTAAGTGCTGCCCCTTTACTATGGAAAATAAAAGTAGACGGACAGCAAGTATATAAACTACAATTATTGTAAGATTGTATCGATAAAAACGAGAATACATTCTTATTAAACTAAGGGAAAATACTAGTAAGTTAAAATATACATGTAATATGCGGTATGTGTTTTGCTCATTGTTGAAGGCCGTACGGTTACCTATAGTTGTTTACATCTATGTCATTTTATCTCTGGTGGAAAGTTGTCTCATTTGCAATTATACTACATCTTCTTATTTTTATATGAATTAAAAAATCAATAAACAAAAAAAAATTTTGTGTTGCACAGAGAAATCATTTTATTATTTTTCACGAAAGTTCACGATATTGTCAAATTGTACGCTTCATGTCTGAAGTTCAAGATTTTCTCCTAAAACGTGTTCTGTTGTGTAGTTTGAGTGTTGTTATTTAAAGGGAGTACCAATGTGCATGTCACGGACATCGGGACGAAATTAAAAAAAAAATAGAAAAAAAAGGTACGACCAAACTTGAATTTCCCGTTGACGAATTAAGAAATTATTACGAAAATAATGTTCAAACTCTCTCCGGCAAAGTTGGCCTTGGATGAGTTTGGCTATTCTTTTTTTATGTCCCTTTTAGTCATATATTAACCTTTCTACGTATTTATACATCCCTGGCACTCAAATGTTTTGTTTTGGTTAGAGCATTCCTGATGAAGGTAATTCAAGAAAAGCGCATCGGAAGCACGAAATATATTAAGTGTTATTTTCATTTTCTACCTGTTTTTATGCCTATTTTCAGTATAAGTTATAGTAATAGACAACTGTTAATGTGTTGTATGTATGTGTATCGATATCAACACAATTGCATATCACCACATGTATGTACAAGCATATATTTTCCTGTAATAACGATTCACAAGAGACACAAGAATGCAAGTCTTATAAATGTATTTTTCGGATCAGCATGTAATTAACCCTAATCTGAATCTCGAATTTCGAGAATACATGTAAATAAGTACATGTACATGTAAATAATCATATTCTATGAGAAAAACGAAAGTATACCATTTGAAAATAAGTTTAATAACATCATATTACACATTACAATTTGAAGAAATATTGCACATCCCGCTTAACTTTTAAAATAATTATCAACACAGTGCATATACTTTTGATGTATTTGACTGTTTCCCCTCTTCTATCATACACCCAACCCATAAACATCCTTTTTGGTCTACACAAACACTTAAAGGGGGACTAATACCTATCTTAAAGGAGTTCAAATATTGTATCAAAATTCCGGTCTTATCAAGAATATGAATAGCAAAGTCACTAGGATCAGCTACAATAATACAACCATTATTGTCACAAGCTATACTCATTGGTATAAAGTCACTGCAAGGCTGGCTTGGATTTCCGTCATACGTGAACTTTAAATTTCCTTCTTTATCAAGAACAACGATTTGTCCGAGGTATACGCCTGTTCTATTTACGACACAAATGTCACCATTTACATTTTCAGTTACTCTATATGGTAAAATAAAGAGTTTGAGTCCGTGACTACCATATTCAATTTCCTTAATGAGTTTTCCAGAGTCATTCATTTTAATTACTTTTCGTGTGGTCGTTTTTGTAACCAAGAAATTTGATGCATCAACAACTGTCACCAGTATGTCTCCTGATCTTGTTACATGGATACCCTCTGGAAAAAGAGGCATGCAGCCACGAAACGTAGATATAGTTCCATCTTTTCTCGACAGTTTCTTTATTGCACAATCTCCAAACTTAGTGAAGAGGATATCTCCTGATGACAACACTGTCATATCAGAGACTGGCATATCGTATTGTTCCTTAGATTGTATTTTATCATTGCACGCGAGACTACGGACTGGTGACCTGTTCCAGCATCCTATCCAAACTGAGTTTTTCTCATCACAGCAAATAGCATTAACAGATGGTATATCAGCGTCATACTCATGTTTTTTGTCAATTACACCTTGTAGAATGTTGGTTTTTAATTTTGTGGTCGTTTCTGTAGTTTTGACCTCTGGTTTAACTCTTGGAGTGTCCAAATTGATAGATAACAACTTTGGAGCTCTATAAACTGCTGCTTTAGTTACATGCACTACTGCTCGAAACCTGCTCGGACCTTCCCTTGTTTGTTTTTGAGTTTCGAAATTTGATACTTTATTTTTCTGTAATTTCCGAGCATTTGTAATTTTCTGGAGAATCTTCTTTCGGTTCCAAATAGAACTTGTTTTATCTGTAGATTTCTTAAAAAAAGACGCAAACTTAGTTTTTTCTTGTGGATTCATTGTGATCGTTCTTCACACGTTTGATCCACACGTTCAGACTGCAGCAAGAACTGTTATAGGTTGGCTTTTATACGAAAGGTACGACCAACTTCCTGTCAACAACCAAACACGAGACGCGTGATATTTGGGCCTTAATATAGACCATTGTGTCTGTAGATAAACAATGATATCTTAAACAAATCTTAATATATAATGATAATCCGATACTCAATCAAAAATGTACTTATTATCCCTCAATTGATTTAATATCGCCTACACCTGCTAATGAATGAAGTAAAGGTCAAAATGTATCTTTATTCGATCACATATTAAATCTAGAATGATCTTTTCTGCGTCATTAAACGGTCTACCTATTTAAAGTCCTATATCATGGTCAGTTTTTAAAACTTTCGATTCCGTCTTATTGAAAATGTGATTACTGCATGAATGATCTACAATCAAAGTTGTTGCTTTAACATCAGATTAAATACACAGACAATTTTCTTCAAAACTGTTTGAAACCAAAGAAAAAAATATGACAGAAGAGCATTTTTTAAAATGATACTCGCCGAGTCTTATTAGTTTATAGTTGATTACCAACCAATATGACATCCAAAGTATAAATGCATATACATTGGAATCTGTGGGAAATATATAATGATGTATTAGACATAAACACGTGAAGATGTCATGAAATAGAAGTTCCTTCATTATATAAGTTCAAAAAGAAAGAAATATTCTGTAATATTCAGTATTTCCTCTGTAACAGTATTTGTTCCTGACGGAATAAAGATTATAGAATATTTGTTCCAACAGGAACATATACTATGACATTGTTTATAACAAGTTTCAAGTGGAACTTCTATTAAGCGGAACGGAGATACGTTACAAATAGCTATATGACTAAAAGGGGCCTGAACAAATAGCCAAATTCACCTAAGGTCAAGTTTGCCTGAATGAGTTGGAACCGTAGTTTCTTAATAGTTTCTTAATTTATCAACAGGGAATTTAAGAAACCATAGCAGTACCGAAGTACTAACTACTGAGTTGATGATGCCCTCGAGGACTAACAGTCTACAGGCAGTGGTGTCGACCCATTTCTAGTTAATGAAAATAATACTTAATAATTTTGTGCGTCCGAATATTATACATGTTCTGAATGATATTGTGAGTTAACCCTCTTAAAAGAGAGGCGAAAGATACCATAGTGACATTCAAACTCATAAGTCGAAAATAAACTGACAACACCATGGAAAAAAAAAGACAAACAACAGCACACAAAACACAACATAGAACACAAAACACTGAGCAACACGAACCCCACCAAAAATCGAGGATGATCTCAGGTGCTCCAGAAGGGTAGGCAGATCCTGCTCAACGTGTGGCCCCCTTCCTCATTCTCCCAAAAGAAACATTTTATTGAATCAAAATGTTTTAAGTTACCACACGTTTCACTCGCTAGTTTGCGGTCTACTCCTTGGTGTTTGAAGTTGTACCGAGCGAGGTGTGGTCACCTGTCTAGGAGTCCGGTTATCAAAACTGCGCAGATGTTGTTATGGTCCTATGACAATATGTCAAATATATTTTGACTAGAATTGTCTAATAAATTTCATCAACCTTACTGATAATTTGTATTCAAGATAAGGAAAGGAATGCCGAAATGATAGAAATAATGCGTGTTCATGAGGGTACCTGAACACCGTTTAGGCGCCAGTGTTTAAAGAATTTGATGTTATTGGTTGAACCGGTTTTCTCTGTTCGGTTGTGCACTGATTTTTTTTTACAGACTCGATGTGATTTAAAGCTTGACATATTGTATGGACCTGTATAATGTTACACTGTATACTGACCTATGCTTTGTTTTGGTGTCGTTGGGTCAATGTCTCATTCATATATGCAACACACATATTATATTTGTCTAATTTATACCCTAGAATCTTTCAATTTATCAGCTTAATTTTTATCCAGTCCAGTGATCTTTATGATGTGTTAATTGTTGCTTACTTTACGTCTAGTGGCAGATATTTCATGCATATTCAGGACGAGGATCTTCAAGAAGTAGCTGACTAAACGACATGCTGCAATTCATAAATGCATGCACACAAAGGTTAAGGATCTCTTAATGTGCAATTGTCCCATTGTTTTTTTTTAACACATCTCCATATCAATGTCTATCAATGTGCGTGTCATTACTCACAGGTGAACTACACATAACAGTACAAATGTACAAAACTTCAGGGTATATCAACAACCAATATTCATTTATACTTTGTACTGACAACTTTAATGGAAAACTAAAACTCTGATAGCAAACATTTTTTCCGGATAAGGAAAATAAAAACATAAAAGGAAAGGCCTGGGGTTAGGAACTCCCTGTTCTTTGGATTGTTTTAAAATCGCGTAAAAGCAGTAATTATAATGTCGGACCCCGCCCTTTTTACCACATTTCAACACTCTCTCCTTTTTCCAATACCTTCTGGATCCTTTACTGATAAGATTAGCGATCAAAAATGCTACTGTGAATTAACTCTTTATTTGAAACTCTCCATTCATACCACTAGAAGAACAGCTATTATTATCATCGTATAGATTGAATAAATTATCGTTTTTTGAATGAGAGTGTGGTAAGATTAAGAAAAAACATGAGGTCTTGCTTTAAGATGACAACTATTTAGAACTTAGCAAACAAACATAAAAACTAGTGTTATGTTCTTTTTTTTATGGCACCATTTGCAACGCTGTTATAACAGATTTGTTATATATTGTTAGAATTACAGTTTATTACTAAACTAAGTAAAATGGACCAAAGCCTCAAATAACCGGGTTGCAGTATTTGTGACTAATCCATGTAGAATGTGTACTCTGTAGTTGCACTTTCATGAAGGTTGTAAATTTTGATGGAAAATAATTTTACAAGTCTGGGAAAATGTCAAAGAAAATCATCAAGTAATTCCATAATATCAGGTGCACAATTTCAACATATGTATAATCTTTTTATGAAGTCTTTGGGAACTTGGTTGAAAACTGTAAGAGAAGTTGCAAACTATACCCTCTTTCATAAATTTTGCTGAAAAATGACCAATATCCAAAGTATAGAAAAATGAGAAAAAATGCCCTAAACAATTTCGTAATAACAGGTGCAAAAACATATGTGTAATCTTCCTGTAAAGTGTAAAGGATATGGATTGAAAACTGTAGCAGGGGTTTATTATTACACAATACTTGTATACAAAATTAGGAGATGTGGTATGATTGCCAATGAGACAACTATCTCACAGTTAGTATGAAGTGTAGTAAGCAATTATAGATATTATTAAGGTACTTTCACCTTTTTTCACATTATTTTACACAACTGATATATTGAAACCATGTCAGAAGATTTAAACCTCAGATATAACAAGGATTAATATGATTTTGAAATTTATTTTTATAATATTTCGTACATAAACGACAGTGCATTATAAGCCTCATAAGGCTGGTTGGTATACATATACATTATTATTGCATTTTGACTATATACATATGTCTAAAATTTTGATATATGGTATTGCATGTACATGTACCAAGTTGTACCTTAAAATATCTATCTATCTACAGGCCAGCGTACGGCCTTCAACAATGAGAAAAACACATACCGTACCGTCAGCCACAAAAGGCCCGAACAATTCAAACAAGGAAACTAACGACCTAATTTATAACAGAACAATTTACGAAGAACAAATATCACAGACTGAAACCAACGACAACCACTGTACTACAAGCTCTTGACTTGGGATAGGCACATAAACAATGTGGCGGGATTAAACAATTTGTGAGCGCTCAACCCTCCATAACCTTGGATACGACAAAAGAACAAACAGGTACCATATTTCAAGAATTATACTGTATGAAAAATTACTAAGTTACTCAGTCTGGATAAATGAGAAAAAAAATCTTCAAACAATACCATAATAACAATTACACAACTTCAACATATGTGCAATCTTCCTGTGAAGTGTCAGGTATCTGGGTTGAAAACCGTTGGTACGAGTTGATTACACAAATTAGGTACCCACTTTTCCCAGCTCGCCCGCCCATCTGCCCGACATCACCATACTATATAATCCGGTTTTGGAAGCCGGAATTTTAAGTTGAATAAATCTAATATAAACAGCAATAACTGTTTTTGTTACATTAATTTGAATATACTGGTTTCCCACCGGATAATGTATATAAAAAAATGCGACCAAAGATATGTGGTGCCTTATTATTGATTTTCCTTTTTTGGACGACGGTTACCCTTTTTTAATGACATTTGACGTTAAGCACCCGACAATCAACCAATTTACCCTTTTTAAATGTTGCCTCACATAATTACGTTAAGGCTTCCAATGAAAAACTGCCAAAAATAGCCTCATTTTGAGAAAAAGTAATTTTTAATTTTTAGATATGAGCCGAATTCAACTCCAGAAATATTTTGTATCAGAGTATTTATAAAAATATTGTAAGACGTCTAAAATATCTTTGTAGACTTTAGCTCCTATCTAAAATTGTTAAAACTTTTTGTAAATTGCAATTTTAGGTCAAATATGTCAGTTTTTTTCAATATGTTTACGATGTAACAGTGACATCACAGCTGACATTTCTGTCATAAAGCGTCCATATTTAATAATCGTGTTCATTTATCGACAAAACTAGTGTGTTTCGATGTCGCAATACACTGGTGACATTTTAAAAGGTAACAAGATATGGACTAGCCCAATATTCTACAAAAAAATTGAAAACAACACGTTTGATAATTTCTTGCGTCCGAAGCGCTTTTCTGGATTTTCTACAAACTGTTATCAGTCTGCCTGCTTGCCAGCCTTGCCAACTTGACAGCCTACGTTTACTTTACAGCATTACCTGCATTTAAATGATAAGCTAGTTCGATTTTAGAATGAACTGTCAGAAGTCACAGTTCTAAACGAAGTTAAACAAAAACGCAAACACAGGTCACCATCAATTTGTTGCTGTAATCGCGACACAGATAGGAAAAGAGATAGTTAGATAGTCTCGAGATGTAAACCTATCCGACATTTGTAGTCATAAGATACTAACCAGACAAAG